AAATTAAACAATATTTCTGCCTCAATTCCGCTACATTTGGCACACCAATGACTCCTTTGCTGGACTAAACAAGATTAAGTTCAAGTACATGGCATTGCTTACATATTGAGAATATCCCTGTTCAAATTGATAAAAAGGAATTCACTCAAACCAAGTACAGATCCTCCTCAACTTACAATGGGGTTATGTCCAATAAACCCATCATAAGTTGAAAATTATCACAAGTTGAAAATGCACTTAGCACACCTAACCTACAGGGGCGCCTGGGTGGCTCAGTTGGTTAAGTGTCTGCCTTTGGCTCAGGTTGTGATCCGTGGGTCCTGGGATCGAGCCTCTCATCAGGCTCTCTGCTCAGTGGGGAACCTGCTTCTCCCTCTCCCTGCCGCTCTGCCTACTTGTGATCTCTCTCTGTCAAATAAATAAAATCTTTAAAACAACAACACACACCTAACCTACAGAACTTCACAGCTCAGCAGAGCCTACCTTGCTCAGAGCACTTACATTAGCTGACAGTTGGGCAAAATCATCTAACACAAAGGCTATTGTATAGTATAATGAAGTGTAGACCATCTCATGTAATTTACTAAATACTCTCCTGAAAGTGAAAAACAGAATGGCTGTTAAGTGTATGGGTATGGGTTGTTGACCCCCCCTGCTCGTGTGGCTGATGGGGAGCTGGCTGCCCTGCCCAGCATCATGAGAGGATTGTCCTCCTGCATATCGCTAGCCTGGGAAAAGATCAAAATTCAAAGTACAGTTTCTACTGAATGCACATTGCTTTCGCACCATCGTGGAGTCGAAAAATTGTGAGTCAAACCATCCTAAGCTGGGGACCATCTGTACTAAGACTAGGAAATGGAACACACATATGGTTGAAAGTAGTGCCCCAACTTTTCAGATAGTCTCTCTTTTGGTAGATTATTTAAAATCTAGGCGCCCGGCTAGCTCAGTTGGTAGAGCATGAGAAATCTTACAGATATCCTTCCATGTATGTACTATACTTTAAAGTAAGTTAATTTTATAACTAATTCCAAGTACTCAGGTATACTCAAATTGTAAGAGAATGCCTGGGAGCTAATGATGAGTGCCATTTTAGAAATGAGTAATATGTTTGTTGTACTTGTAATTCTTGATTCTACTACGAGTTTAAATTTTACTCAGATGACCATAAAGCAAGGGCTTTCTTCAGTGGTTGGTATGTTGGGTGTCTTAACACAATCACCTTTAGGAGGAAGAACCAAGGGGAAAAGGAAAAGGAATAAAGAAGGGGGGGGGTTGCTGGCTGGCTCTGTCAGTGGAGCATGCGTCTCTTGATCTCAGGGTTGTGGGTTTGAGCTCCACCTTGGGTGCAGAGATTACCTGTGAGTGGCTATTAGTGGTATGTCGAAGCCCTTGCTGAGGTGGGGAATGTTGGAAAGAACAGACTTGAGGACTGGGAGAAGGAAAGGGTGGGTTCAACTTTAGATCATGAGTTTTCTGTGCAAGCAAGAAATTTAGGTACAGAGTTCCTAAAAGCAGCTGAATCTATGTGGCGTTCAGGAGATCCAGGTGGACAAAAATAAACTTGGGTGTCCTCAGGACTCAGAGGGCACTATGCTTTGTGGCCTCAATAGCCCTCAAAACGTTTTTGTTAGTTGCCCAATTTGGTATTCATGAAAATGTGAGCATTTAGAAAAGGCAACAAAAAATATGACTTAATCCTACTTTCTATTTGTAAAATTAAGAAGCAGAAATAGGGTTTTCATCTTTCAAATGACTGTTCTCATGTCTTCCACTGCAAGTTTTCTAGACCATTCCCATTATCTGAACCATTTAACACAAACTCCCACATATTTTATCCTCGTGTCTGTTATTTTAGGCCCTCATCTATGTATTTTCTTTTAGTTGCCAGTCAAAAGTACCTCATTTTAGAGGCGAGTCTGATAAAAAGCAACTAAAACCACAGGAATAATACGTACACAGCTCTTATCACACTGTGACTACACTTAATATTTTGTTTCCATTTGCTGCCCCCCCAACATTTACCAACTTTACCTCCTCCTTCCCCGCCACCGCCTCCTATGCATATTTTTGTCTGAGCACTCAGTCAACAGGTGCCTGCTCAACAAATGAATGAGAAGTTAGGAGGAAATAAGCCGCATGAACTTTCTTAGGAGGATAGCGTGTTATGTGTTATGCTGTATGTCATGTGCTGTTTTGGTCGCAGACTGCTTCCACGGGCTCTCCATGTGTGAACATTCATCACGGCTCTAGGGCATTCTCTTCTTACAAGGTAGGCGCTATTCTCATTCACCTCCCTCACACAAAGGCAAACAAGATTCTTGGGATCCACTTCCAACTCCTTCAAGTTCCACAGCACATCACAATGCACCGTAGTAGTAAACATGTGGAGGCTGTTCAAGTTCAGCTAATTTAAGGAGCAATCACAAAAAATTTGCCAAAGATGTTTTTATAGCATCTCTTCTAAAATAATTTGGCTTTAAAACATGTCATTTGTATACAGTTCAAGAATACAGTCCTTATGGAAAGGAGTGGCCTCAAAGAGGCCGAGTTTTCGGGAGACCGTTTATTCTCTTGTTCCTCAGCAGGATCTAGGTAGGTTTCCAATTAGGACGAAGATGGAAAATCAGCGACCAGAAGCAAATTTATCCAAGATTTTTGACGGGTCATCTTTACTGCTCATTCAAGGGTTCTACTTTGTAAACTTTTTTTTTCCATGTTAATCAGAAAACACTTAGGGTTTTGCTTCTGGGTTGCTGAGGTCGGGAGCCAAGGCTGCTTTTGTCATTTGAGTACATTTGCGGCTTCCACTTAAAACCTTCTCTGGCCCTCTGGAAAAAACCTCATTTTCTTCTTTTTGCAGGGGAGAGTAAAACTTCACTTACTGTAACATCTCAATTATAATCGATACTAACAAAACATTTCATATATATACAATTTGCAGTACACTTTGGGAGGGATTTAGGGAGGGTAGCAAGGCTCAGGCTATGGTTGAATCTGGGGATAACCACCTATCTAGTAAGTGTCATTTCATTTTTATGGTGCCGACAGTTACTTCCACAGCATACTTCATTACATCTCCCAAACGTAAACGTTGCATGCATCTTCAGGATTTCTTAGGCGATTTTAGATTTATAAATTTACAGCATAAAAAGGGACAAAAGACCCAGATCTGTTGGTCAAATAAAGTCTTCCTCTCACGAGTCTCTCTGCACTGTAAACCTGATACAGATTTCTCTATAGGCTCAAATGGGGAAAACATATGAGAGCAAGAACTGCATCTCAGTTGCCTGCGAGCTCTGCCACGGACTCACCACGTAACTGATTTGGGCGGAGTCACCGACTCTCCTCATTTACACACACTGAATTGATCTAAGCTCCCACAGTTATTGTTGGGCACACAAGACCTCTGCCAATACCTGGTAAACTTTACTGTTTCCATAATTCATTATACTTTTAAGGTCTATTTTCTTTAAGTACCTGGTAAGACTAACAACTATATAGTTTCAGTTGCTCAACCAGTTTTGCTGCCTTTAAAAATATCCCGGAGCAGGCAGTGTTGTCTCAACTCCTATTCCAATTTGTTTTGGTCAAAATTCTGATATTCAGCATCAGGCTGCACTTCACACTCTCTTAATTTCAGAAGCCAGCATTCCTTGTTATTCTTTCTCCCTTATGCGTGAATAATTCCATTTCTCCCTTTGGTATTAACATTTTATTCAGATATTAGAATTCCTTGTTTAGTTATTTAACAAAGCCATGGCTTATCCAGATGTATTACTTACCCCTCTGGGCTTACACATGACGTTTTAAGAATGCCATATAGGTCGTGCCATTTGCAACGACATGGATGGAACTGAGGGTATTATGCCAAGCCAAATAAGTCAGAAAAAGACAACTGTCATACGATCTCACTCATAGGTGGAATTAAAGAAACAAAACAGAGGCTCATAGGGGATGAGAGGAAAAAATAAAACAAGATGAAATCGGAGAGCGAGGCAAACCATGAGACTCTTGATCATGGGAAACAAACTGAGGGCTGCTGGAGGGGTGGGGGTGGAGGGACGGGGTAACTGGGTGATGGACATTAAGGAGGGTACGGGATGTAATGAGCACTGGGTGTATAGGAGACTGATAAATCACTGACCTCTACCTCTGAAACCAATGATATGTTAATTGAATTTAAATGATTTTTAAAAAAGAATGCCATGGGTCATTCCTTGTTATAAATAAAACATTGCTTGAGAAAATTAGGAAAACTAGATCAGTATCTTCAAGATGCTTTAAAAAGGAAAAGGACTTGGCACTTAATGGGACATATTTCAATCAAATCCAGAGTCCCTTACTTCATGTCCCATGCCTCCCTTGCAGCATTTCTACACATTTTAAATGGCCTGGTAGTTTCTAACAGTAAGCCAAGCATGCTCACCCAACTTGTGTCGCAGACACTGTTTGTTACAATATAGGCAGCAAGCCCTAGTTCATAGTGATGTGCAGAACACACACACACACAACACCATATAAAACAAGAAGCACTTGTGTTAATAGAAGGTTCTTCCAGAATAATTTGTAGCTACACGGAGTGTATCCTTGAATGACACTTCAATGGAGAATCTTCCAAGAGTAAAGAATCTTGGTTTGTGATTGAATGATGACATCCGTATCTACAAGTCAAATGTGAGGTGTTTTAATTAGATGCTTCAACATGTAAATTCCCTAGTCACTCACACTCTTTGGTGAACCTACATGGCCAAGTTAGTCTGCAGCATACCGCAATTGTTTAGATCACATATGACTAATAGTTAAAATCTGTAAATCCCTATTGCCATAAAGTACTATACTCTCTTGTTGCATTAGGCCCAGGGGGGAGGGGGGGCGGCAGCTTTCACATGTACCCCCTGTCTGTCCTGCTTCTCACACAGTACAATATGCACCGTCCAAATCCCAAGACAGAAACAAGTGAAACAAAACAAAACCAAAAACAAAAAAAACCCCCAAACTTCATTAAAAACATTTTATTATAAAAGTGTGCTTTATTATAAGGTAAATTTAAATATAACCAACAATACTGAAAATAATGTAACTGGCATTTACAGCCTTGGTCAGAGTTCTTTATTAAACAGGCATTTGTTTGCTACTCCATGAATAGTTAATAATCAGCTTATGCAACAAGGTATCTTGAAAAAGTGGATAAAGAGTACAGAATGATGAGCCAGGAATCTGGGGGTTCTTTGTGGTTTTTTTTCTTTTTTAACAGACCTGGCTTTTAAAATGAAATCTGAAATAGAAAACAAGTCATCTTCATGTCGTAAGCTCTCTTCCTACAAGAAAGTTTGCAAAATTGTTAAACAGTGTTCTAAAATGTGGTTAAGTTATACTTTACATAATTTTTATATGTACATTACTTGATGAACATTTTAACCATATTTTCATTATATATGTAAGACCATAAACATTCTCTAATAACATCACACTATAAGAGCCACAGAATATTTTTACCCAGGTTTGTATTTCTGTAAAACCTGTTTCCCAAAATGCAATGGGCTCATTTAAAAGTGAACAACTGGTTAGAACTAATCTCTCCAGACACTGGGGTCATGTGGGCCTAGAAATCATGTTAAGAATAATACTGCTTTGGTTAAATGTAATTCATCTTATGTGGCAGAATAATAAACATATTATCAATGAAAATCTATTCAGTTAAGTTCATCCTGCACTTTTGAGTCTACATTAACACAAATGGCAAGGCCTAATTGGATGGGGCAGAAATTCCTTTTATCTTTATATATGGTTTTGCTCATAAAAATTTATTTCTACCACCTTAAAGGAAACCCATGGGAGCAGATGTCTGCAAAGGATCATATTATGTACACCTAGTGAAGAACAGAGAAATACCTGTGGGCATGTTGATAAGGACCCCAAAATATTTTTGGTATAGGAGAGGTCTTTTTTTCCTTTTCTTTCTTTTTTTTTTTTGCATATGTAAGATCTCTGACTTCTAGAAGACAAGTTTAAATAGCATTTAAAAAAACTATTTGTGACATTACATGTCGAACTCAAACTTTTAAAGAGTACAGAGAACTACAAAATGGAAAAAGGAAGCAGATATATGCTTTATGAGGAAACTGTGTCAATGATCTCTCATCTAAAAAAGACTCTTCCCTATTATCATAATGACTACATTGCCTGTCCTTAAAACCACTGGAGTACGGAGGTTACTGACATTATGCCAAAGAAGTCAGAATGTACTTTATTGCAAAAATAGAAAAGGTTTGAAAATTGCATATGATGTGTTCTACCATTTTACCGTAGTCCAAGGCCAGCACATAACTTATCAAGCCAGAAAAACTTGAGAAAACAAAAATGGTTAAAACTGTACTTACTATATATAGTGAGTTGTAAAAAGAATGTGATGCAAGGCTGTCCAGCATGAGTCACTGCCAGGGTCCCTTTTCACGGGCACACTCACTAACACAGCAATCCGGGGAAGTCCAAATGAACACGTATCACCCACGGCAGCATCCTTTAATTATCTTCTTACACACAGATACTTTCAGTATATTACAATCATCTGAATAAATCTTTCACTCAAATCATAATTTTGTGGAGTACAAAGTCATCTCATCAGTATGTCAGTATTTTTTTGACCTACTCTTTAGAAAGTGATGGTAAAGCCTATTGAGTATTAAATCACTACTCTGTTTACGGATACATTGTAAATGTAAAAAAGGAAAAAAACCTGAAATCACAGAAAATGCTTGGCATCTACACAAACACATTCTCAGTGGACTAACCACTACTGTGTAATTTTGTCACTATGGGTCTTGTCCATACTTTTGCTTCATGCAGTGGGTTCAACAATATCCATGTTAGTTCCAAACAGAGCAACTAATTGTTCTTCATAGGTGGCAATGTTCCTTTTCATAATTTCCATGCAAGGTCCCAAAAGCCTTTCAAACGCCTGCACATCCATAGCTAAGAAAAGAGGAGAATAAAAGAAAAACAAATTTAACATTCTTTGCAAATCTGAAAAATTCCAAAGTCATTTACGATGCCCATTCTGCAGGTGTCAATAATGCAATGGTATTTTTAGATATTTATCAAATGCAAGAAAAGGGCGTAAGGATAAAAATGATCCATCTCAGAAAGTAAACAGCCAGTGTTCCCTTGATAATCTGATTGCGCAATGCTAGGTCAGGTGGGAGGCTCCTGGTCTATAGTAAGAAAAAAATGAAGGGCTGTTACGGCAAGGCCTTGGAATTTTAAAATAAATTAGTTTTGATGTCACCACTTCAATAATATGAACTCCTTAAAGGTGGCAAGGGATTTTTTCCTCTACTGTTTTCCCTTCTCAGGGTTTAAAATGCTGTGCTGTAAGGACCCAGGGTTACCTTTTGTAATGTTTACTCGTTTATCCTATTGCTAGTCAATTCAACATGGTGGCCAAAATGCTTTTGTCCACTTCTAAATATATGGGGTCTGTCACTTTCTCTGCCTGTCTCCTGCATTTTTAAGAACTCAATTTGTAATATACACGTGGAAAATAACACACTCTCTACCACAGAAATCCAAATTAAAAAAAATGGTTTTTTTGCCTCTCAAATTTGCAAAGGTGCAAAAGACAATGTTCACAAGAATAGAGGCAGTGGACGTTCTCGTATTGCTGGTAGCATGTAAATTAGGACAGACCAAAAGAGCTGGCAGTATACCTCGAACACCATAGAAAGAAAGCGTACTCCTGAGAACACTGCTAAGGAAAAATCCTATATATGGGAAAAGAGTACATGCACACAGACCCAAAAACTCTCCCCCACCCCCAAAATATGGAGCCCCAACCCCCAAAATATTTGCCAGTGGGAAATGACTGAATAACTTATAATGCGTATGTTTACCTCATATGTTACAATTTGATTAAATGATAAATAAAATGAGCAAGTGCCTACAAAGCTACAGTGAATGAAAAAAAAAGCAGTTGACAAAACTTTAAAACAGAAAACCCATGCAAACAGAAAAAGATGAGAAGGAATTAGAACAGGATCACAGGGTAGTGGTGGTGGTGGTATGGGTGACTGAGTTTTTCCTACCCTTTTCTGTATTTCTCAGATTTTGTTTAATGTGAATAAGTTTGTTATAGAAAAAAATTAACGCGGTTTCACTCACTTCACCTTTACTCTTCCTCCTTCCTGTCTGTACTCAGGAAAATTACCTGTCAGTTTCTACCTACCTTCTCTTTCATCCACGTGTAACACTTGATTAATATCATACGTACTGAAAGCCTTTTAAAAAGCGACTTCTCTAAGAAGTGAATTCTGAAGATGCCTGCAGGTCTGAGAACACAGAGTGGCTAATTACTGCGGAATCAATTTTCTTACAGGGTCCTCTACATGGACTCCTCCTGGGTTTCACTTCTCACTATGCAAGCGGGTTCTTTCTCCTAGATCAGGTCTCAGATGCACATAGAGGTGTTCCAGCTGAACGTGGCATTTGTGATGCTGCATCATTAACAGCTAGACAGCAAAGAAAACCGTCCTGCATTGGAGGAACCCGACCCTCCTTTCCGTAGGACTAGGAGGAGGAAGCGTTCACACAGACCTTCAGGCTTTGCCCACAGACCTTGATGAACGCTATAAAAATACCGTTCTGGCTGGCTTTTCTTTGGGGAACACAAACTTTACTTGAGCGATGAGACCTAAAACTCCATACTCCGAATTCTTTACTAAAACAAGATGTACTCTCACGCCCATACGGAAGAACAAAATAGGTATGAGAAAAAACGGGCTCCCACAAACGGATTCTACAATGCCATGAATCTTGACCTTGTTCTCATTTGTGGGGACCATAAAACTTGGGACCCAGTGCAATCATCGGTACAGCCCCACGAACACATGGAATGCAGGCATCCCAACTGCAAGCAGGAGAGGCACTGTGACTCCTACCTAAACATTTGACAGTCCCGATGGCGTGTGCGGAAGCTGCCCGAGGTTTGTTAGTGACCAGAGCCAGCTCTCCAAAGTACTGTCCCCGAGAACACCGAGCGATTTCCACGGCGCCATTCTCTTCCACTTCTGATTTACCCTGACAAGGTAAGGAAGGGTGTGAGCCTTGACTCCCCTCATGAAGACTCCATTAACCTGAGGGTGAGCATCAGAAAGGAAGCCTGTTGCTCTATGGCTAACATGGATTTTTAAGGACTTGCCAACACTCACCTTCCTTTTCATAGTGATTTTCACTTCACCCGATTCTACGATGAAAAAAGAATCCGCCAAATCTCCCTGTAAGAAGGAAACAAAAACAGCGGGGGGCGGGGGGGAATGCAGATTTCATTGACAGCAATCCTTTTTGCCTCTCGTAGCCCTGAGATCAACCCAGCTCCGTTGTACGGATGATCTGCCCGAAAAGCCAGGGCCCAGAGGAACAAACTATCTCACCGTCTACACTGAGAGGCCGTGATCAACAATTCTAGAGTAAGGAGTTCATTTGTAAAATTACCTGAAATAATAAACTCTCTCCCGCGGCACTTCTTGCTAAACTAGCCAAGGAGATACAGCAAATATGGAAGTAAGAATTTGGCCCCAATTCCAGCCTGTATGACAATGTCCACAGTCAGAGATGGCAGGGCTGTGTCCCAGCACCTCCTGCTCCACCAGCCAATCCCGTGCTCCCCGAGAAGCGCTCAGATGCGCACCCTGTCTCATCCTCTGATAAGCATCAGCATGGTGGCCCGAAGAGGAGAAACTTGAGGAGAAAACCACCAGACTTATCAGGAGGCAATTCATGGGGGCCCTGACCGTGACATTTGTACTGATGCTCCACTCCACCTCGGGGCCTCAAAAAGGCTCCTGAAAGTGTTGCCATTTCTAACTACATCCCTGATTTCCCTTCTTTTTGTTTTTGGGTGAACTCTGCCTTGATTTCCAATGACGCCTCCTGAATTAAATAGTGCAGTACGGATGACATCAAATACTGACTTTTCTGAGCCTCTCAAAGTGATTCTAGAGAAACTTGGGAATTTTAAAACTCTTTAGTACATACAATCCAAGAAACACAGTATCAGAATACATCACCAAAATGTGGAGTCTAGATTTATGTAACAAGGATATTTATAAATGCTTAAAAGACAATACCTAAAAATACTTTCAATAAACCCTAAGATTAATACATATAATCTCCTTTCTCTTATTTTGTATCATAAAAGCTTCCTGTTAAATTTTCAAGTGTTTAAAATCGTAATACGTCTGTTGACTGCTGTGTAATTGTCTTTTCAGATTTTATTTTTAAATAATCTCTACGCACACTGTGGGGCTCGAACTCATAACCCCGAGATCAAGAGTCATGTGTTCTACCAACCAAGTGAGCCAGGCGCCTGATAATTTTGTTTTCAAAGCGTGCTCTAAATGCACGTAGAAGTGACAACACCAGGGTCTGTGGGTTGTGCCAGTGTCGGATCGTAGGTGTGATGGTGTGTAGTGCAATGACACCAGGGGTACCGGGAGAAAGTGGGGGAAGGGCATGGGACCTCTGTATGATCACTGCAATTTACCATGCATCTGTAATTATTTCAAAATAAAAGGCTAAAAAGAATCATGTCAAAAGTGCTCTGTGGTTGGTTATTTTTCAACTTCCATAGTAGAACCTCAGCCTTGTTCTCTAATTTGACTCCACTTCCTTCCAACCCCTGACTATAATCTGTGTGTGCACATGTGTGTACAGGAGAGAGAGACTTGTGATTTACTTGTGTGTCTGCCTTCTAACAATTATTCTTGCCTCAGGCTCACAGACCTTACATCTTATTCCACATATATCAAAAGAAAAGACAATACTTTTAGATTAAAATTATAATACAGCATAAATGTTGTGATACAAAAATCAGAGAACCTTAAAATCTGTTTAAATCATTCGCCCAGGGCTTAGAACTGTAACTAAGAAATATGGGCCCTATCATCCATCTGCTTTATCTGTGAACTCCGACTGTCTTCATAAATCCTACTTCTTGGCAGTTCTGTCGTAACGAAGGTGTGTATTCCTACCCGTTCCAACTGGGATCTCAGAGAAGCATCAGGGGTGAAACAGCACATCAGCCCCCATTGCGTGCCTGGAAGCTAATACAGTACACGGTACAGTGTGTTCCGTTCTTGATTAATTTTATCAGGGAGCAGCCCCAGGAAGCTGCCTCCTGAAAGGCAAAACTGCAGAACTCCCGGCGCAACTTCTGGGTCCATGTTATCTCAAGGAATGCACTCACCTGTTTTTTCTGATTGTCAATGACATCTTATTGTAGATACGTTTAAATTTCATGTCATGTACAAGTAGAAAATTATCCAGAAATCCATCTGATGATTTAATACATATTCATCAGGAGTTAATTATATAAATAAAAATATTCAAATAGCTTAATGGCTGTAAATCAAACCACTTTTAAGAGGTCATTTGGCAGAAGTAATATTCATTTAATCCACCACTACATGCTAATTACAGACACAAATGAAAAATTTATCAAGATCGGCCTCATGGAAGAACCTTTTGGAATATAACCCTAAGCTGAATTACCTAAAAAGCACTATACCTGAGCAATGATTTGTTCTCCATCGTTGTATACTTTGGTGCCTATCACATCCACCACTTTCAGGCGTTCAGAAACCTTCAGTGAAAAAAAGATATGATTAAACAGACTAAACTAAACAGACTAAACTTCTGTTTCAGAAGTTAAAAATTGGTAGCCTAGAGGCCAAATAAATAGAGCACATGGTTTTGTGTGTGTGTTGTATTAAGTGCCAGCATTTTAAAATAGATTTCCCTCAGGTGCACCTGAATTCTCAGCTTCTCATGAACAATCAGGAGCCTCAGCAACCCCCAGCCCACACAAATGGCACACAGCAACAACGGGCTGGGGTTCGGCGACCGCTCTGGCGCTGGCGCCGAGTCTAGCTGACACCCCACCCTGGCTTCCTCTGCTCCCTTACGTTACACCTGCCTAACTCTGAAGGCACGTGCATTTCCAGCCCCTGATCTTTCATGTTAAAAGAGATGCCGCGAGACACGATCAGCTGCCTCATACGCGTTCTGTAACGTGGCCAAAACCTCCACCAGGCGTGTACCGACAACCCAACAGAGAGAAATTTCAGGAGATGAATCAGTGCTAATCCTGAGGCTTGTGGCCCAGACACAGGAAGGTGGGGAAGGCAGGGGAGGAGGAGAGCTGGGACGCGCTAGGTTTGAGATGTCGATTAGACCTGTGAGCGCAAATATCAACCATGCAATTGGATAAATGCGTCTGCCATTTGACAGAGGGACCTGGCCTGGTAATGGCCATTTTAGGAGGCATCAATGTATAAGCAGTGTTTAAAGCCAGGGCATTTGACAAGTTCGCCAAGTGAGTAAGCATAGCCTGAAAACAAAAGAGACCCTGGAATGCCAGTCTGAAGAGGAAAGGAGCAGAGGGGTAAACAGCAAGGTTGACTGGGAAGGAAAAGGCATGCCGTGTTTCGACAAGCTCTCCCTGTAAAGGTGTAACTAGTTACTGCCCACATTTCTATCATTACCTCAGTCTGCTTTTACATCTTTTAAGTTTTTACTTAAATCCCAGTCAGTTAACATACAGTATCATATTAGTTTTCAGGCAGACGATATAGGGATCCGTTACCTCCATACAACACCCGGTGCTCATCACACCAAGTCCCCCCGCCCTCCTTACTCCTCATCCCCTATTTCCCCACCCCCCCAACCCCTCCCCGCCCCGTGACGATCAGTGTGTTCTCTAGAGTCTGTTTCTTGCTTCGTCTCTCTTTACTTTCCCTCTGCTCATCTGTTTTGTTTCTTCAATTACGAGTGAAATCATAGGGTATTTGTCTTTCTCTGACTGACTTATTTCTCCCTTAGCATTATACTCTCCAGCTCCGTCTGTCATAAATGGCAAGATTTCATTCTCTCTTATGGTTGAGTAATATTCCATTGTGTGTATATGTGTGTGTATATACATATATATATGTGTATATACACCTCTTCTTCATCCATTCATCAGTTGACGGACATGTGGGCTATTGCCATAATTTGGTTGTGGTAAATAATGCTGCTATAAACATCGGGACATGTGTATCCCTTTGAATTACTATTTTTGTATTCTTTGGGTAAATATCCATGAAGTCTGCTTTTAGATAAAGACCACATATAAATCTGTTCTAGACACTCACAGGAGTCTATTACTTGTAAAACAAAGCAAAACAAAACATCTGCAGCTACAGGTAGTGAAAGAAATACCATGTTATACAAACACCATCATGTAATCTTTTCAAATAAAAATATTCAAAGAAACTTTCCTCCAGAACTAAATGTTCCAAACAGAACAACTTTTAAAGCAAAATAAAACAAAAGCATAAACATATACTTACTTCCAACGATTTAAGGAATGGCAGTGACTCGATAAAGCTTTCATACATTTTTCTCTTTTTGGCATTATTTTTTACAATTATTCTCCTGAAGGTTACCCTGTCCTAAAGGCAGAATAGCAGATACAAAGACAGTTAAGAGGTAGATTTTATTAGGAAAAAAAGTTTGAAGAGATAGTTTCATTTTAGTCCCAATAAGGAACAAACAATAACTGAAGATTTTGAAATAAAAGTTTAATGTTATTATACTTTTTTCAGGTTTTTTTTATTTCTTCAGGCATAAAATATAGACCCACATAAAATATTACTTTCATTTTTTTTTTAAAAAGGAAACTATTTCCTTTTATTCGGAAGAACTGGCCAACATGTAACTGGGATAAACCCACAAGGTGGTGCTATTGCACCATTAAAAAAGCACTAGCCCCGTTTTCCTCCAGCTTTATTAACATTTAACTGATCTATAACATTGTGTAAAAGTTTAAGGTATACAACATTGCTTTGATACACTTACATATTGAGAAATGATTACCACAAAAGGATTAGTTAATACTGGTATCACCTCACATAATTACCCTTTCTTTTTTGTAAGGAGAACATTTGAGACTCCCTTTGCAACTTTCAAGGGTACAATGTTAATGATAATTACCATGCTGTTCATTCAATCCCCAGAACTCATTCACCTTGTAACTGGAAGTTTCCACCCTCTGACCACCATCTCCCCATCTCTCCCACCCTCGGCCCCTGGAAGCCACCACTGCACTCCGTGTCTCTTGAGTTCAAGCTAACACAAGTTCTTTTACTGTGGATAACATCCCCAGGATATCCAAAATCAAGTCAGCGGACCATGACCAGCATTTTTTTAAACTGAGTTATTATGGACCTATAACATTATATTAGTTTCGGGTGTACAAAATTTGGCATTCATATATATTGAGAAATGATCACCACAATAAGTCTGGTTAACACTCATCACCATACATAGTTACAAATTCTTTTTTTCTAGTGGTGAGAACTTTTAAGCTCTACACTCTTAGCAACTTTCAAATATAGCATGAACTACAGTGGCCGTGGTGGACAGGACATCACAGGTCTTATTTATTTTATAACTGGAAGTTGGTACCTTTTGACCCCCTTCACCCATGACCAGCATTTTTGTAAAAAATAAAGAATGGAAAATCTCAGCATGCACACCTTTTAGTAAAGTGTTGTTTAGTTATTTATTTCAGTTATACACAAGGACACATAAATAAACACAGTAACATACTGGTAAATATACTGGTTGTGATCTTTCCAAATGGACATCTAAATGTGGGTTGCAGGAAAAAAATGCATGAAAAACACTTGAATTTTTTAATCATAAAGCAATTATAATGAGCTCTTGAAAAAATTATGTACGCTAGGTTGTCACATCCACATTATGTCAGAGTTTTTTTTTTTTAAATGTGCATAGAGGAACTACAACTTTCTTGAATATCAGAGTCAAATGCCAGTGTTTATCATTCTCAGGGTTCTCCAACATTCCTCTGTTTATACTACTTAACCTCAAAGATACAGAACTCAATTAGGAAACTCGGGAAAATTTTAAAGATAACAAACAGCTCAAAAAATTGTTTTCCTACAAACTTTATTTTGAAAAAATCCCAGTAAGGTATTATTTATAATGGTTCTTAGTTAAGAGCCCCCAGAATTACACTGGTTTGTCATATACTGATCAACAATTACACCACTTTAATATCCAATAAAACTGCGATATGTTCATTAATTATTAAATTACTGTCCGACACAGTGAGGCTGAATTTAGCTGAACTGGCAGGATGGAGGAAAATGCCAGCGTGGATGTAAGTCTCTAGGAAAGCAAACATCCTGTTCCCCAATTTAGTTTATTACAATTTGACAAGGGCTGTAATTTGGAGTTGTAATCCTAATAACTTTTTTAAAAGAGAAAAATGCGCAAGATAATTAGTAAAATTATTGAAATAATTTCCAAGCTTGGGTCTGCATCAGAATCAGCTATAGCATTAAAAAAACTGTTCTCAGACCCCATACTTCAATGACTCGAACAATGTCTGCGTGTAGGGCTCACTAACCTATAGGTCATAAAAGCTCCCCAAGTGATTCTGATCTATAATCAGGTTTGGGCACTGGCTGCAACACCATTTTATGGACAGAGTTTATTGCAAAACAGAGACGACGAGAAATAGTTTAGTGATTAAAAATTAACCACAATGAGGTATTTGTCTTGGGAAAAACTGTGTTAGTGGCCCACCTCTTCACACCCACTGTGACATATAATTAAAATCCACAAAGTCCCATTTCAAATGTTTTCATCCTAGTCATTTCAATAATTGCCCTGAATCATCGGCAGGTTCACGCACATCAGTTAACCCTTAAGGCTAACAGTGACCAAGTACTATTTACAAAGTTAGACTAGTCTAACAAAGGACTTTTCTCTTGGGATCTGCTTATCTTTCTACCTGCATTTATATGACAGAGCTCCAATGTGCTGGCCTTAAAAGAAAAACATCTTTTCTACTCGACTTTCCCTGGAAAGGGGACAGTTCAGTAAGTGGCTCTTAAAAAATATATTTGAAGAATTAAGTGATAGGTTAATTCTAATTTTTAAAAAGTTCCTGCACTTAGGCACATACCCCAAGGTGATCATCACAAACTGCCCACCTGAATAACATGCACAGATAAGTAAAAATCTCTGAAAATGCTAAATCCTTCTTGATGGCTTAAGTATCACACACACTGGGAAATGATGGGCCTTGGTACCCAGTTTAAGGTTTCTGCCAGGGCTGCAAATTATGAGTACTCAGAGGGGCCAGCCTGCTACACGTGTGATCTTGTTCCAAGGATGTGCGGGAGGCAGCTTCCGGACCGTGCACCCCTGACCCTGGCTGGCAACCTCATTCGAATGACCGAACTTTCAGCGGATGCCTTCCTTAATGGAACAGGTCACAGAGGACTCTAGAAGGAGCCAACCACTCTGATAACTGGCAAACAGGTCCTATGGACCTAGCCCAGTCTGGTTTGGGGTTTCTACTTTGCTGGCTTTGGGTATTCAAATCTTTAACAGTCCTGAAAACACGCCAGACCACGACGGGTTTCTTCTCGTGTGAAACAATTTCAAATTTTCTTGTACAACTTAAAAGTGACTCATCACATTTTTACCACGGCAACAGTAACTGCCTGATTCTAATAAGAAGAAATGTGCAGTATGTATGGTTTCTCTGAGCAAGAGATTTTTATCAGCTGAACGAACTTCAGAGTTAAATGGCTGAGTCGACAGGGAGTAACGGGTTACTTATGTAAAGCTACATACGGTCCTTGGGAGCCGGATTGCAAACAGACATCCTATTCTCTCAATCTCTTCTCCTTCCACAAAAGGATTTTTGAGAGAACTAATCTAATAAATACATGTCAAAACTAGAGAGTGGGCCGTTTTCAACAATTTAAAAAGAAAATACAAGCACTGCAAACATGTCCTAAAATCAGCATTGCTTAAAGTGTGCTCTGGGCAGAACAGCACTGGGGTCTCCTGGGAGCTTATGAGAAATGCAAAATCATATGCCTCATTCCAGATCCAGTGAATCAGGATCTGCATTTTAACTATATTCCCAGGTAATCCGTAAGCACATCGGAGACCTCCTAGAATCAGCTACTCTGCATCCTGATATCACGTATGAAAAGAATCTCCCTTCCCACCTCACCTCAAACCAACTTTTAAGTCTTACAGAAATATCACCATTAACAAATTTATTTTAAAAGCCCAGGTCCCACCCCGGCAGGGTCTGATTAAATTGGTCTGTGGTGGAGCCTCAGCAAGAGGAATTTTTTTTAACATTTCCACCCCCCTCCCCCACCGTCAAGTAATTCTGATGTGTGTCCAGGTGAGAAACAGAGGCATCAGGTATTTTGATGCTACCCAGCTGCTTTTCGAGGCAAAGCTGTTACCACTTTAAAGCACACCAAGAGAACCTGTTTATGGAGGCTTCTCAAACTCTAGCTAGCATGCATCCGAGTCACGTGGTGGGTTTGCTCAAGCACAGATCACTGTGCCCCATCTCAAGAGCTTCTGATTCGGGGGACCCAAATCAGTAAGGGGGCGGGGCCAGAATTTGCATTTCCAGCAAAGTGCCCAGGTGACATAGGTTCTCCTGGTCCGGGGACCACACCTGGGGAAGCACAGATCATGTCATACCCCAGAAAGCTACCTGAAAAAACAGCACTGGAGGCCTTGTTCATTTGTCTGGGTGGCTGGTTTTTAACGGTGGGTAAAAGAGGAGCATTTCGGATCTGAGTCTCTTTCCCAGGACCAGTAGGTTAAGCTCCTGACTTCACTGGGAAAGAACATGAAGATTTAACCCAGTGCCCAGAAGTGCAGCACCCAGTGGCTGCTTAATAATCACCCCAGTGACCAAGGAGGATCGCAAAGAAATCCACCTATTAGAACCAAAAGACTCTATCTGCCTGGCTTTCATCATAACAGTTTTCATAAATAACACTCAGGTGAAATAAATCTCTCACTCACCAAACCCCACAGAGCACCAGGAGAGGTAGCAGTGATTGTAGCTGCTCTGGGCGTATTGTACATTAAGGCCAGTTCACCGAAACTCCCGCGGTTATCGTAATTCCCCACACACCTTCCGACACCATCGCATTTCACATAGATATCAAATGTTCCTCTGTTGGACAGATGAAAAAGAAGAGATAAAAGTAACTCAAGTCAAATCTCATGACAATAGAACATCATTTCGGAGAAGAGCCGTGTGCGATGAAATCGCCTTTCCAGCTTCCCGTTCTCTGATGACAAGTAGTAAAAGGACGTTGATATGTGCCAGAGAAAACATCCGTGCCAGACAAGCGGGAAGACACCATCAGCTAGACTGCAGTAGGGACCAGACATGTGCCTGCTGGGGGAAAATGAGACCGAACGATAAAAGTTTCTAATAAAATAAATGATAAAATGAGACTCCAACCGAACAGAATATGCACAGACATCCTTCTGAAGCAGCTGACTGCAATCATCTCTGAGTGTAAGAACAGTGAAGGATGTTTTAGTTTTTGTGTCTAAAGAGAACACGTATTACTCTTGAAATCAGAAGAAGATAACTTTTTTTTAAAAGAACAGAGCTCTAACAATTTGGTCAGCCCTACTATACAGCACTTACAAGGCTCTTGTATCATCTAAGGAAGGGGCCAGCAGAGCAAGGCCCCGGACTGGCTGCCTGCTTTCATGAATAAAGTTTTACCAGAACACAAACACACGGGTTTGCCTGCACCTTCTTGATGGCTCATCTGTATGTACCACAGTAGCAGAGCCAAGCAGCTGAGACCACATGGCCTCAAAGCCTAAAGAGTTTACTGTGGCTCTTTACATCATCTGGGGCTTTACTGCAGACTGACCCCCAAGCTAGAGCAAAATGTAGTAGAAATTCAGACTGAATATCTGATCCTGGTCTTTTTGAAGGTCTTTTTATTTTGTGCTTATCTTTTATTTGGGTTCATGTTCTAGGCAAGCAGCCCTCCGTCTGCCTGGCGCTGTCCTACACATTTCACAGACCCTGTATCTACAGAACTACATTCTTCCTGCAGACGACACTCTTCCCATACACTGTGTTTTATCAGAGAACACGGCTTCAAGTCTTGCTGAAACACCTGGGAGCACAGACAGCAGAAATTCTTTGGCTTTATTCTGTTGGCTAAACCCCTAACAAAGACAAAAAAGGGAGAGCTTTTAAGATTAGGAAAGGATTATGAATGGTAAAGATAAAACAAAAGCAAAAAACAAGATACTACACAAACACTAACAAATAAGAGAATAAATGGCTTGATGTTCATGGATAGAAGGGCTTTTCAAGGATACCTTCTAGAATGGGTTTCATGACTATTTTTCAAGTACAGACTAATTCTTCTATTAACACTATTTACACTTTAGCACCAAAACCATTTTATACATTTTCTACTTTGAACAGAATAAAGTACACAACAAATGTGCTGATGAGAAGTAAAATGAGCCTCCAGTCCAGCTGCCAGCACATGGTCTAAAGCCTGTACCACCTTCTCATACACATTTCTCTCCGATAACGTGAAGCGTGGGGCAGAGTGGAGCCACAGAAAGACCACGAACAGTGGCCAAGAGACCGGATGCCGAGCTGGCTGACCTTCACCGACTCCTGTCACTTCTGTGCGCCTGGGAGTTTTCATCTGTCAAGTGGCTGATTAGGATCTAAGTGAACCAGGAAATGTAATGGGGTTTTTAACCGTATTTCGGTTTGCCATATACCCTACAGTTAAATACAGTGTAACAGCTAAGTGAATTTCTGAGGTGTTTCACTGATGAAAGCTGTTAAGGATACAAAAATCAAGACTTTAATTTATACATGAAATAAATGGGTCTGTTCTAAAATCAGAGAGCTCACCCCACCCCAGCCCTCGACAATGGCTCTACAGGTCACCACGGCATTAAGACAAGGAAATGGAGGAGTCGGTGAGAGCCCTCCACGCAGAGAGCGTGCATGACTGCTGATATAGGAGAGATGCCAACCACAGAGCCAAGTCAAGAAATGAGGCTGTGCAGACAGATGGGGTGTGATTTTCCACAAGGCTATGAGCTGAGCACAACTCTACCCAGAGAAGCAAATGCAACCCAATGAATCCGGCCAGGCTGAGAGATGACCTGTGTGGCCCCCAAAACGGGAGGGGCAGTTCAGCATCACTTTACCAAAGTGAGGAAATATAGCCTCCGTTCAGACTGCTCCCCCAAGTACAGTTAGGGCTCTTACCTAATTACTGCTTAAAGCACGCTCTTCTTTGACAAAGTGAAGATGTTTTCTGAAATTACATTTTCAATATGAATGCCCACCTTCTCATTTAAATAAAATAATCTCTCTACGGTGTTTTAAAATAACATCTCTATGTTTTTAATGCACAAGAATGCAAAAACAATTTCTGGAAAGAACATAAACTACCCTCTCTACCATGTGCATGTTTTACTTTATCGTTAATAAAAAAAGAACAGATTGAGTTATATGATTCAACACCCCAGATGCTGTGCTCTGCCTCCCTCCTAAGTGTAACAGGCATCCTCTCAAGCCAAAGTTAATAAGTGAAGCAGCTCACAGTAAATGACTGAGATTTATAGATTTAACTAACCAAAACCATCCATTCTTCTATAAACTAGGCCTCTTTTCATGATCTAATGTGGTTTCACCACACGTATTCACAGCAGGCTTCCAGGGCATATTATGGAGTAACAAGAACAAAGAGGTAACAGCCACTATCGAATATTAAAGAGGTAACAGCAACTATCAAATATTAATTTGCCAGTTGTTATAAGAACCGCTGAGAATTTATACAGAAGGGTCATTACATTTCAGCAGTGAGGTTACGCAAAACTTACCTATCAATCACGTAGAAGTTGTCACCATCATCACCTTGATCAATTACATGCTCCCCTTCTTTGACCAGTTTTTCAAACATGGCATCTAACACTTGAGACATCTGCTCCTATTTTTTTAAAAAGAAAAGATACAATCCTTATGTTTGTCTACAATATCTTCCTTTAACTAACCGTAATTGGCTTTATATTTCTGTGAACCAGCTCGAAGAAACAGAAATATCATCACTGCCACTAAATCTTGTCAAAAAAAGAAAAAGTACACAGCACAGTTGTTCTCGCCACCTAACAAATGAGATGATTATGTATTTCCTTTCATCTTCAGTACCTGAAAGTAATTATAATTAGCTATTTCAGAATATTTCAGCACAATGATCACCACTGTAATATATTGAAAAACAAACCACCAAACACCATATACCTTACACATGAAATAGAACCTTGGCAACTAAAATGACCAGGTTCGTAAAGAACGACTGCAAATGCCTTTTAAAGACTGTTTTTAAAACTTCCCTGTGTTTAGTCATCACTAGAACTAAATACTTAGTGAATTCAAATTCTGGCTCCAATCTTGTTTGGTTTTAGCACCAAAAACAAAAACACATAACAGAAAAACAACATAGGCAAATCCAAAATTGACTATGGCAAATTTGTTATCACTGTTCTTTACCACTATAGTTCTCTTCAAGAAGCAACCATTTACCTCCGTAGGACAGATTTATTAACACTGAAGCCAGAAACGTCAAACCTGTCCTTCAACTACCTAAACTACATGAAATTTTTATTCTGCTCAAGGGTGGCTGACAAGGCTTAAGGATAAACTTCAGCTAGTGAGAATAAACTAGAAGGTGAAGAAATCTTTCCTCAGAACAACTACAGGAACAATTCAAAGACCCTCAGACAAAAGGGCTGTTTCTCAAACTGGGTTTTGTGGAACCCAGGGACTTTGTGGAAGTGCTTCAGTGATTGATTCTGTAAACCACTGATTTAACTGCCTCCTCAAAGTGTATCTGAGCCATTAAATATTGAAACTAATGGAAACCAAGGTGCTCAGATGAATTATATATAGTTTTTTCGTGAGGTTAAATTTCTCATAAAATTAACTATGGTTAAGTGAACAATTCAGTGGCCAAAAAGTTGTGCAACCACCACTTCTTAGTTTCCAAACATTTGCATCGCCCCAAAAAGAAGCCCTATGCCCACTAAGCAGTCACTTCGCTATTCTCCCCTCACTGGCCCCTGGCAACACCTACCTGTTTTCTATCTCTATGGATTCCCCTAATCTGGATATTTCCTACAATGCAATCATACAATGTGTCCTATTGCTTCTGCCTTATTTCACTCAGCATAAGGTTTTCGAGGTTCATCCTTGTTCTGGATATATCCTACTTTATTCCTCTTTTACGGATGAATAATATTCCACTGTAAATATACCACATTTTGTTTATCCATTCATCTGTCAATGGACACTTGGATTGTTTTGCTTTTGGCTACTGTGAATAGTGGGGCTACTGAACATTCATATTCAAGTATTTGTTTGAATATTTATGTCAATTCTTCTGGCTTATACCAAGGAGTGGAACTACTAAGTCATATGGTAATTCTAGAACTTTTTGAGCAACTGCCAAGCTGTTTTCCACAGTGCCTAAACCATTTTCTTTCCCACGAGCAAAGTACTAGGGTTTCAATTTCTCCACATCCTCGCCAACACTTGTTATTTTCCCTTCTTAAAAAAAAAAATTATACCCACCCTAGTAGTGCTGGGCTGGTATTTCATTGTGGTTTCGGGATTGGCATCTCCCTAATGACTAGCTATGTTGAGAATATTTGCATGTGTTTATTGGTCATTTGTATATCTTTTTTGGAGAAATGTCTATTCAAGTATTTTGCCTAATTTTAAGTTGGGTTATTTTGTTATTGAGTTATAAGAGTTCTTTATATATTTTTGGATATTTGGCCATTATATATATATGATTTGCAACTATTTTCTCCCATTCAGTAGAATGTCTTTCACTTTTTTCAATAATGTCCTTTGATGCACAAATTTTTTTATTTTTTATGAAGTCCAATTTCTTTCTTTTCATATTCTTGTCTTTGGAGTGCACCTAAGAATCCACTGCTAAATAAATTCAAGGTCATGAAGATTTACCCTTGTGTTTTCTTCTAAGAGTTTTTATAGTTTGGGAGCTTACATTTAGGTCTTGGATCCATTTTCAGTTAATTTTTGTGTACAGTGTAAACCACAAGTTGGTTTCTGTGTGTGTGGGATATCCAGTTGTCCCAGCACCATTTGTTGAAGGGACTATTCTTTCACCATTGAATGGTCTTGGCACGCTCATCAAAAATCAAATGGATATCAAATCAAATGTATAGGTTTGTTTCTAGAGCTCAATTTTATTCCACTATTCTATGTGTCTACCCAGGCCAGTAACACATTGTTTTTATTCCTGGAGCTCTGCAGTATAGGTTTTTTTTTTTTTTTTTTAAGATTTATTTATTTTAGAGAGAAAGGGGGAGAGGGGCAGAGGGAGAGAATCTCAAGCAGACTCCCTGTTGAGCATGGGGCTCGATCTCACAACCCTGAAATCATGACCTGAGCTAAAACCAAGAGTGGTATGCTTAAGTGTCTGAGCCACCCAGGTGCCCCTGTAGCAAAAGTTTTAAAATTGGCAAGTGTGAGTCCTCCAACTTTGCTCTTCTTTTGCAATATTATTTTGATGATGTGGGCCCTCCTTGGTTATGTATACGAATTTAATAAATGATACAACAGCAAAATGTTAATGTGTTTTCCTGGTTTAGCTTTATAATACATAAATGTTACCAATTTAAACTTTTATAAAATCAAAAATCATACTGACACAAATAATTTTTGTAAAGCTTTTTTATTTTTTATTTGACAGAGAGAGAGAACACAAGCACAGGGAGTGGCAGGCGGAGGGAGAAGCAGGCTCCCTGCTCAGCAGGGAGCCCGATGTGGGGCTCGATCCCAGGACCCTGGGACCATGACCTGAGCTGAAGGCAGATGCTTAACCAACTGAGCCACCCAGGCACCTCCCAGACACAATTTTTATTTTTTTATTTATTTTTTAAAGATTTTTATTTATTTATTTGACAGAGAGAGATAGAGCAGGAACACAAGCAGGGGGAGTGGGAGAGGGAGAAGCAGGCTCCCCGCTCAGTAGGGAGCCCGATGCGGGGCTCGATCCCAGGACCCTGGGATCATGACCTGAGCTGAAGGCAGGCGCTTAACGACTGAGCCACCCAGGCGCCCACAAATAATTTTTAAAAAGAATACAGAACCTCTACAAATACAGATATATTGCTAAGTAAAAAGAAGAACGGGGCAGGACACCATGGAGAGTTTGCTGCCACTGAAATTTAAAAAAAAACAACATACTGCTCTGTACAAAGCATAACCCTGGAAAAATACCCATGAGAATGCTCAAAACACGTGGCTCCTGAGAAGCTGGGGTGTGAGGGAGATTTTCTCTCCCCGACTACTCTTTAGTTTTTTTTGGATTTTTATAAATTGTGTATGCAAACAGACTTAGAACTTTTAATTAAAAAACCCGAGCTCTCCATTTGAACAGAGAATATACTACTGCATCTTCCCGTGAGCTAAGCAAAGCTTGTGGAGGAACATGGGGGTGGGTCCTGCAGGAAGGGGTTTTCATCCCCTCCCTCAGTCCCTGTGTGAGCTCTGACACCTACTTGTGAAACAGGAGCCCCTGCAAAAGATGAAGCCAGTGTGGCAGTGCTGTCTGGATGTCTGGCTAATTGGCCCCATGGGGACCATTTTATCCAAATGAGTTCATCAACCAGGCAGCATATGGTCACCCATCAAAATTATGAAGTTTGATTAAATGTTTTACTAATATTTTGTTGCACTTACTATTTATATTCCAACTCTTTTAGTCCAGATGGAGAGAGAATATCAGCTTTATTGATTAGCTCTTTCTCTAAATGTCAAATGGAGAAAAAAAATGAAATACACTGCTCTAGAAAATTTTTTGGTTGTCTTGGTATTTAGCTGCATTTTAAAACATGATAAAGCTTAGGAATTCACACATAATATACAAAAAAAGTATTTCCTGGTAAAATACAGAACAATCATTTCTTCTAGAACTTCTCACTGTGACAGGTGTCTATTCTAATCAATCAAAATGCAATTTCCCCATAATTATGCACAGAGTGAAAAGAACTTAGGAAATATTTAATATGCAGAGGCTTATCCCAGTGACTGACAACTACAGTAGGAAATCTACATCTTATTCTACAGAAAGCAAATTAGAGCTCGATGAAAGGTCTCTAACTTCAAAAATAACAATTTACTCTCCATTAATGAAAGAACCTATCATGGAGCATAGCAAAGTTATTTCAGTTTGCCTCAAATTAGAAATATTTCAGAAGAAAAATGGCCTACTGAGTCGAGCATTAAAATATTCATGAAAAGGATATCTTCAAAGAGATTAATAATTATAAATGCTGTGCTCAAACACAGGAATATACAGCCCTCCCAGGAAAGATTTCGGAGGCCTAGGAGGTGCCAGATTTCCAAGTTTACCAACGACATCAGGGAATTCAGATGGGATAGTACGTAAAAGGCCAGGATCATTCTTCTTCCTAGTTAGTATTTACTGCTTCCTTCCTCCTCCAAATCTTCCCGTTTCAGAAAAAGGTACCAGCTCGTGTTCATTCCAGCGAGACAGTGGGAGTCATCCTAGACCCTTTCCAACAGGTCACAAACCGTTCGGTCCCTAAAAAGTGCCAACTTCTGCTAATCTTGAATAGTTTATGAAACCGTCCCCTTGCCCTCTTCCCTAAGCCCATTTCCCGCCTTTCTACCTTCCGTCCTGCCACTGCAGCGACCTCAGACACATTTGACTGTTCATTTCTCTGCTTAGGATGTTTCGATGGTGACTTCCCCCTGCCTCCAGTACGTGGCCGACACTACAGGGCGCATTCTGGAAGGGCCCCTGATGACACAGCACACCCGTATCTGAGCTCTCGCCACCAGTGTCCGCTGGTGCAGGCTCCTGTGGAACCACTCTCCTTCCTACTCACTCTCTGCAGCTCAGCTCGCGTGGCCTCCCCAGCTCCCTGAATCCCCAGGTGGGGCCGAGGGACCCTCTCCTCAGTGTCCTGACTCCATCACAGCATGGACCATGTTGTACAAAACTGCTTTTGAATCCCTCATCAAATTATAAATTCCAAGAAGACAAGAGCCATGTCTGAGTATTTCTGCGGCGTCCCTAAAAAGGCTTTACATGGACTTCGGAGCACAGTGAGCAGTCTGGGCATCAAAGTGAAAGGAGCTGTTGTATAAGCAGGTTATTGGAGTTGAATATGTAATTCACTTTAAATGCATCCGGGTATTGTAAAAAAAAAAATATGTATCGTGAAACACTAGAAGACTGTTTAAAACATGAGCTTAACCTAAAATCTTCAATCTGCCATGTTTGGGGAGGTTTTTATTTATTCTAGGTAGTAATCTGTTGAGAAAAATAAAGTTTTACTCATCTATATTTTGCATCATTTCCAGAAATGTAGGGAAATAAATCAAGATAGCTTGAGCTCACATTTTTAAAAAAAACATCTTTTGGAAACAACTATGTAAATATATTTGCTTCTTCCCTATAAAATACTCAATAATGACAATTCATGAATTTGCTAACTTCGTGAACTGGCTTCTTCTCCCCCGCCTCCCCAAGAACTGGCTTTTAAAATACATATATTGAAGACCTTCAACACAGCAGCAAAAAAAGGCTAAAAAAATTTACTATTTGGGGTGCCTGGGTGGCTCAGTTGGTTAAGCATCTGCCTTCAGCTCAGATCATGATATCAGGGTCCAGGGACCAAGTCCCGCTTGGGGTTTCTTGCTCAGCGGGGAGCCTGCTTCTTCCTCTGCCGCTCCCCCCGGCTTAGGCTCTTGCTCTCCCTCTGTCTCTGAAATAAATAAATAAAATCTTTAAAAAAATAAATAAGGGGAGCCTGGGTGGCTCAGTCGTTAAGCATCTGCCTTTAAGCGTCTGCCTTCAGCTTGGGTCATGATCCCAGCTTCCTGGGATCAAGCCCCACATCAGGCTCCCTGCTCGGGAAGCCTGCTTCTCCCTCTCCCACTCCCCCTGCTTGTGTTCCCTCTCTCACTCTCTCTCTCTGTCAAATAAATAAATAAAATTTTTAAAAGAAAATTTACTGTTTATAAAAATCACCACTTTAATTAGGTAAAGCTGTTCCTGGCCAGAATATACTAGTGAAAGCTTTTTAAAAATTATTTTAAATGCATCCAAAATTTTCACAGTGCTTTTAAAAGAGTTAAAGGTGAAATGGCAAGAAAGGAGGAGACAGAACAGGCAGCGGCATCTCCGGAAAACACGCCTGGCAGCCATCCGACGCCCGTCTATTTATCACTGGGCACAGGGGCACCGGAGAGCACCACACAGTCACTGCTGGAGCACTGAAATATGGCTTCGATTCAACAGGAAAGTATGCACACAGAGGAACACGCGGTAGTCACCCAAATCCAGAGCTGGAGCACTTCGTGGCCGGCGCTCATCCTCGCTACAGGAAGCGTGGCTGGGGGCCAGGACCCCGGCCTCACCTGAGAGCCGGTGAGAAATGCAGACTCTCAGGCTCCACCACACATCTACTGAACCAGACTCTGCCTTCTGAACAAGATCCTCTGGTGACAGACAGACACAGGAAAGTAAGAGAAGCCCTGCTTCTGGTGAGCTCTGAAACTCTCCCAAGTAAATTTCTAGTTGAAAAATAGAGAAATCTCCTTAGCTGAAGCCTACCCCTAAGGGTAAAACTGAGCATTAATTTTACAGCTGTCCTCTCTGTGTATCTGGAGGAAAGAGTTAAATACTAAATTAGTTTAATTCCAATACCACACACACACAAAGTTGTAGCTTTCCACTAATCATTATTTGGACTCCTATTGGTGGAGGATGATTAGAGATCACATAGTTTTAGTGTCCTTTAATGTCACAGAGTCATTATCATTCTAGATAAATGAGATGAGGGATTATGTGGAAGCCCATCAAAATTTTACAAATTCCTACTTTAGTCACTTATTCTAGCATTTAATACAAGAAAATATTTCCATTCCTAAATTTTCTATCTTAATTCCATTTCTTTTTTTTTTTTTTTTTTGGAGGGATGGGGAGAGAGAGAGAGGGACCGAGAGAGAGAGAATCTTAAGTGGGCTCCATGCCCAGTGTAGATCCCAATGCAGGGCTTGATCTCACAACCCTGAGATCATGACTTGAGCTGGAATCAGGAGTAAGATGCTTAACTGACTGAGCCACCCAGGCACCCCTTAATTTCATTTCTTAATCTTCCATTATTAGAGCAAACAACCAACAACCCCATTCTTTAGAGCTCAGTTTTACAAACTCAGTAAGAATTCTAGAGGACCTGGGTCAAACTGGACAAAATTATATACGTGTGGTCCTAAAACAACATCTCCAAAGTCACAAAATGTAATCCGTGTTCCCGGAGGACATGACAGAAACATATGCGGTATTAGAAACAAAAGATCTTTAAAAAATGTTTCAGAGTGTCCTATGACCCAGTGTAGAACACTCAATACAATACAGTACCTTCCTCTTTATAAAAATGACTTTAAGAAGACCTCATCTTAAAAAGAGTAGGTCTTAATGTTCTAGGGCATCAATCTGAAAACTAGAAGATGCTGCATTTGACCAAAAAAAAGTTGAGATAAGAGGCGTCTGGGTGGCTCAGTTGTTAAATGTCTGCCTTCAGCTCAGGTCATGGTCCCAAGGGTCCTGGGATAAAGCCCCACATCGAGCTCCTTGCTCAGCGGGAAGCCTGCCTCTCCCTCTGCCCCTCCCCCTGCTCGTGTGCCGCTCTCGCTAATAAATACATTTAAAAAAAAAAAACTCAAAACATTAAAAAAAAAGTTGAGGTAAGCTACAGGAGTTGACTCAGCTTCCACATTTGGGTCATGGCAGCAGGATCATGGCAACCCAAATGATCACATAGCAATAAAGAAGCATAATGTGAGATGAAGGAAGAGAACATTTAGGTCCAAGCACAGGACAAAATGTGAATCACATGCTCACAGGACAGAGGTTTCTAGAAAAAATACAAACCAGAACCAAAGAACAGAGATTTCAAAATCCTTACAAAGAAAAAAATCCCTCTACCTTTAAAACGAAGTAAAATGTTGCTTTTAAAATACATATAATACAAAAGTTAGCCACTAAAATATCATTACTATCACTAGTCGGTGAGAGAGGCAATCCACCGTGGGCCCCGCGCCGCCCTGCATGCTCCTGCTGGGTGTACAAAGAATGCAAAGTCCAACCCTCTCTTCATCTGGGCCGTTTCTCAGGGCTACACTTGTAAAGTAACCTGGAGGGATGAGATAATGTCTTCCGCGGACAAGGGGCAGGCAGGCCTGTGCGCTCATGGCTTCAAGGACACTGCACCTCCCAAGCTTAGTGTTGCTCTCCTGGAACACAAACTACCATGTAGGCAGGCATCTCGGGGGCGGGGGGGGGGGGGGCTTTACATCATCCCGGGGGACGTTAACTTGTTGGGAGGGTAAAATCCAAGACCCTGCAACCGTTCTTTACTCTGAAGCTGAAAAAAAAAAACCATTTCTGGTCACTGAGATGTAGCTTACCGGATCCAGGTTCTTAAACAGCAGGATGTCTTTGCAAGCCTCTTGCAATCGATTTCTTTGATCATCAGTTTTGGGATGTATAATCTAAAAGGACACCATATTAACAAACAAATTAGTCTACTCATCTTATGATAAGGGATAAAACTTCCCAGCAGGACGTCAGAGGGGAGAACTATCAGTGCTGAGGTTCACTTTAGGGGACCAGACACAAGCTATCAGCCCCCTAAGTAAGGGCAAGTAGTGCAGCCTTGTCTCGAGACGTGGTGCACACTCATCAACAGAGCGCTTGAATGTTTTTCAAACAGGTGTTTCCCCCCAGGTTAGCAAGTTCATTTTGTAAAGGTCTGTGATTTGCTATTCACTAAAGACCCCAAAGCTCCCAGCCAGTGGGAACATACAGAAGGACAACAGGCCACAATGGCTATGCTGAAGGTCTGGAGACTGCCTTCATTCTGTTTAATACTCTCTCGATATTCTCTAATACTGTTTCATACTCTACCACTGAGTGCGATAGTCTTTTAGGATGTAGACCTTTCCTTTGAAATGGGACAGTCTCTCGAAGTCAATAAATTCTTACACGTATATTGCATTAGATGTTAAATATATTTTTACACACTATGTATGTAACTATCCCCACAGAGAGTGGTTTTCCAAAGGGAGCACGTAAACATGGGGTGACGTACCTAGAGTGTGGATTTGAGGAAAGGTGAATCCAATGGTCCTGGTGTGCTCAATTTAGAATGAGCTCAAAGAGAACCAGTGTAGTCTATTCTTCCTAAAGCGTCATCCCAGGAGGGCGAAGACCAACAGAATGCCCTCTGTAAGTGTGGCGTTTCAACTCTCCAGAGCCTCTTTTGATGAGTGGAAGGCTCAACCCACTTGAACCAAAAGGCCCATTCTTTTGTGAACATTGGTAGTTTGTAACTATAAAATGAGTCAAGAGGAAGAGACAGTCCTAAAAGCAGCAAGCATGGAGAGTCACCCTCCTGGACCACCGATGCACTGATGTTCAGAGAGCGGCTGTGGGGGCTGACGAGCAGGTGCCCCAGCTCCTCCGTCACTGGCCCCACCATTGGATCAGCCGGAATCAGGCAGTGGGGAGCTTTGTGCTCATGAATACACCAAGACTCACAATGGGAAATTAGAATCGGCATTTCAAACCCATCTCAGGTGGCTAAATATCAATGAAAACCATAGGCCCAAATAAAGGAAATTTACAGTATTCAGGCATACACCTTGTTTTACTGACTTCACCTTAATGGGCTTCACAGATAAGATGTGATTACAAATTGGAGGTGCATGGCAACGCTGCATTGAGCGCCATTTTTCCAGCAGCATTTGCTCATTTCATCTCTCTGTGTTACATTTTGGTAATCCGTGAAGTATTTCAAACCTTTCCATTATGACTGTATTGGTTATGGTGATCCGTGATCAGTTATTAGGACTTGCTGAAAGCTCAGATGATGGTTAGCATGTTTTAGCTATAAAGTATATTTTTAATTAAGGCATGTACATTGTTTTTTTTAGACATAATGCTAAAACAGAGTATACACATAACTTTTATATGCACAGGGAAAACAAAAAATTCATTTGACTGGCTTTCCTGCAATATTTGCTTTATTTCAGTGGTCTGAAATTGAACTCACAGTGTCTGCAAGGTGTGCATGTATGTGTATTATTTATATACTACACAAAAGAACATCAGCCAGTGGGAGAGGAAGTCACTGCATTTTTTTCCCATATGGGTAAGATATATGCAAACTTTTATTTACTATCTAATCAATATTCACCTCAATCTAGATTTTAAGACGACATATGGACACAGAAAAAGCAGACCCTGGTGCCTACTAACTCAGTGCTTACTATACAAGAAACTTTTTAAATTAGTGCACTGAGAAAATCATGCCAACCAAAATTCGTATCTCCCTACTTCAAATAAGGAAGGTTAACACAATAAAACAAAACAAAAAGTCACTTCTCACTCCAACTAGAACCTCAAATCAAAGCAATCATAAAATGTTTGCCTGCTGAGGGGCACCTGGGTGGCGCAGTCGGTTGAATGGCCAACTCTTGATTTCGGCTCTGGTGGTGATCTGAGGGTCATGGGGTCGAACCCAGAGTCAGGCTCTGTGCTGAGTGCAGAGTCTGCTGGAGACTCCTTCTCTCCCCTGCTCTGCCCCTCCCCCCTTCTCTCTCTCTCTCAAATAAATAAAATCTTTAAAAAAAATGTTTGCCTGCTAAGAAGCTCTGTCCTCAGAGAGAAAACGTTGGGGATGCCATGGCACCCCTACGGAAAAAACGTTCTAGGCCCAAGATGGAGGTGCTCCAGCCCAGGGAGCAACGTCAGCACACCACAATTTAGATAGCCTTTGTGTCCCCGTAAATGCTCCAGAAACGTGGCATATCCACTTAGCCAACCAAGGCCCAAAGCCAAGCCAACTGTGGGTTCTACATTTATTTCTCGTCCCTTATTCCTTATCCCACAAACGCTTCCTGCCTTCTACCCCATATCCCAGTTCTCTGGACTCTTGGGAACCCGCTTCAGGAAGTGGTAGGGTTTGTCTGGATCACCCAGATTATCTTCTTTAATCATTCTTGGCGCCATCTTGCCCCTGCTTTACTCTTGTTATCAATTTAAGTCTTTCTGGGCGCCTGGGTGGCTCAGTCAGTTAAGCGACTGCCTTCGGCTCAGGTCATAATCCTGGAGTCCCGGGATCAAGTCCCACATCGGGCTCCCTGCTCAGCGGGAAGCCTGCTTCTCCCTCTAACCCTCCCCCCTCTCATGTTCTCTCTCTCTCTCTCATTCTCACACTCTCAAAATAAATAAATAAATCTTTAAAAAAAAAAATTTTAAGTCTTTCTCCACGACCGTTCACTCTGTAGGAACCCCTCACACAACAGCTTTTTCCTCTTCTCTCTCTCCTAACTAGTGTTTTAATGCATTAACCCTTTTCAATTCTGGTTCTTAATCCTGCCACCACTGCTGTGGTCTATGGCTCTCCCTGTTTTCCGTTCTCCCTCTGTCCCCTCTCCCCATCCTCACTCCTCAGAGAGTCTTCTATCTTTTACAGACCCCACATTAAAATCCTGTTCTGTGTTCTGGAAAGCTAACAGTCAGAAATCAGGTGACTCCTTGAGGCTTTGGTGCTCCTGCCCTGTAACCAACTGCTCAAAAGATGTTCTCCTACTTCTAAAGACTCATTTTTTTCTGTTTGGGTTGGTGTGATCCTACAGATAAGATCTGCATCTGGATAACTAAGGGTGTAACTAAACCATACACCCAAATGTGATTTTTATTACACTAGAAGTCACTTTTTTTTACTAAATTTTATTTCTGATTTCAGGGTAAAAATCTCGTTTGTTAAACAAATAATTATGTAGCATTTATTATGTGCCAAGCACTGGTTTAAGGGCTTTAAAAATATTAACTCATTTTATCCTAGTAACTGACCCCATGAAGCAGGTAATAATTTATGCTAAGTAAAATAAGTGAGACAGAAAGAAAAATACCACATGATCTCATATATTAAAATGAACTTCCCCATGTCATTTCTTCAGTGTCAGAAAGCTCAGAGCTAGCTGCAGAGCTAGGATTCACCCCAGCAGGGCTGGCTACAGAATTTATGCTCTAAACCAGGGTCAGCAAACTGGGGCCTGCAGGCCCCTAAGCTAAGAACGATTGGGAGAAAAAAAGCAGAAGAATTAATACTTCTTAACATGTGAAAATTCTATAAATTCAAATTCAAGTGTCCATAATAAAGTTTTTTTGTTTTTTGTTTTTTTAAAGTAAGCTCAACACCCAACATGGGGCTAGAACTCACCACCCCGAGATCAAGAGTTGCACATGCCACCGACTGAGCCAGCCAGGCGCCCCCAGAAATAAAGTTGCAATGGAACACAGGCACACTCATCCATTTATGATTTATCCCCGGCTGTTTTCAAGCTACATCTGCAGAGCAAGTAGCTTTGACAGAGACTGTACGCCCCTCAAAGTCTAAATATTTATTACCTGGAAAGAGTAAATTGTTCAGTTAAAAAAAAAAAAAGGTTTACAGACAGCTCTGCTCTAAACACTGGTGTCTTTCATTTCAAAAAATTAGAAAACCAATTAATAAATAAAGGGTATATAGACACTTTCTCTAAAGAAAACACTGCAAATCTATTCTGCTAATAAGCAAGGGCTATCTGTACAACGTAGTTTCCTACTTGTTCAGCCCATTGTCCACACACAGCTGAAGGTAACCTTTAAAAAATTTAAATCAGAACATCTGGATGGACTCTATCACATTTCCCGAGCATGAAGGGCCCGTCCTTCCTTCGGCCCCCCTAGCCTGTAGCCACAGATGCCTGCACTCAGAACTGCCAACAGCTCCCAAGCTGGGGCGCTGAGGTCAAGCCAAATGGGCTCCTGGGCTTTGGGGCAAGACTTCCTTTCTCTACCCTCTGGTCCCACTTCTGCAACTACTCCGTTTAATTAGGGACCCTGTCCATGGGGGGTTTGGTTTCCTTTTAGCACTTCATATTTGTAACTGTTCATTAGTTTACTGTCTTGTTGTCTAATTCTGCTATTAGCCTCTAAGCCCCAAGATGGCAGGGACTTACCCACAGTGCTCGCCACTGAACCCATAATTTTGAGGGGTAACACAAGGAAATGACCCATTCTTCAAATTATCAGCTCTTCTCTAGCAGAAGAGCTACATGTTAGGTGTACATATAACTCTTACATTTTCACTAGCTTTTTTAAGATTTTTTAAAAAATAATTTCTACAGCCAACACGAGGCTTGAACTCACAACCCCGAGAAGGAGAGTTGCATGCTCCACCATCTGACACAGCCAGGCGCCCCTATAGCTTCATTCATTAAAGGTAAAATCTAATTTGTGATTTTTCCAAAATCCGTCTTAAGTATTTAAATTTTCTTCAAATTTATATCAGAGAATATTTATACTAACCCGAGACTTAAGGATTTGATACATCACCTGTGAAATACAAAATGTTCAAATGAAATGGTACTTTATCAAAATATATGTTTTCCTTACAGACGTTTTCCCGTATCTGCTTAGAGCCAATTAATTCTGAAATCTGTAGTAATCATTTCCAAGGGCTATGGTGCAATTTGCCTTGTAGTATCTACGACCAAAAAAACACTGCAGTTTTTAGTAACATGTTTAGAGAATAGTCAAACTAATGGAGAACCTGAAGCACTTTATAATTATAATAAATTAATTACAAAAAAACTATTAAAAGTAACATGGAGGGTGTTACAGGGGACAACTCTTAGCAGTGAATGCCCGACTCACAAAGATTCTTCCTTCTCTAGGAACGGGCTTCATTTAAAAGTGATGTCGTCTGGTAGCCAAAGGCTGCACTCCTTGTCCCTGGCCCCCTACCCAAAGCTGGGTCCATGAGAAACTCTCCCAGAGAAACCAGGACTTTAAGCTGAGAGTCACGGCAATAAGGGCAACCGGCAGCCACGTCTCCTCCTAACACAATTCTCTAAGTCCTGCACCGCTGCTATGGAAGGACCCCAGATGTGGCCTGGCTCCTGCCCGCCAGCTACGGCTTGGGTTGATTTTGGGGTTTGGTTTTTTTTTTTTTTTTCCAATTCGTTCTGGAATTCTGTAAGATTTCCAAGCATACATCCGATACTTTTCTTTTTTTTATTTTTATCTCAATGTGATTGGGTTCTATGACACAGCCAAATGAACCTTAACTGGTACCGCCTCCCATACAAGACTGTTAGGGATTAACTGGAGTGACCAGCCAATCACTTTACCTATCCCACGGATCAAATGGTGGCTAACAGTCTGAGTCTATGAGATACTGTGTATTGTTTTTAAACTGTCCTTTTGAAATATCCTTCAGTTTAGATTCTTTTTTTTTTTTCAGCATCTTATTATTTATTTATTTATTTATTTATTCATGAGAGAGAGAGAGAGAGAGAGAGAGAGAGAGAGAGAGGCAGAGGGAGAAGCAGGCTCCCAAGGAGTAGGGAGCCTGATGCGGGACTAGATCCCAGGATCCTGGGATCATGACCTGAGCCAAAGGCAGACGCCCAACCATCTGAGCCACCCAGGCGCCCCTTCAGTTTAGATTCTTACTAAATCAAACCATTTCATCAAACATCTCAATTACTAAGTTTTATCGTGTATACCTTTATACTCAAAATAAAGAGTGTGTGTACTCTTCAAACTCACCCATTACTGTTTCTGCTAGATACATAAATCAAGGACACGAGGGGGAAGGCCTAGTTTTTACGACTACATGAAGTACTAACAGCATGTTATACATTAGTAACAGTATCTTAATCCTGAGGAAACATAATTTCAGGCCAGAATTTATAGACTTTATCAAGTTAATTTATGTTCTGGTAGCAAACAGTGAGCTCCCCCCATACGGCTGCTGGGAACCCCCATGGGTATGGGAATGAAACGGGATTTCCTTCAAGACCTTCAAGATAAGACTCCTGATCTTTCTCCCACTGGATTCTACATATATTTCAGGGAGCTTAATGATGCAATGACTTAGGAACATAGTATTTGCTTTTCCATATTAAAACTCAATCTTATTTAAGTATCTGTCAGAGCTACAGAAATAAATTTTTGTTTATCTTTTGAGGCCAAACAGAAAAGAGGAGCTTTGGCCAAGTAAGTACTCAAAAAAAAAAAAAAAAAAGGTAAATTATTACTTTCCATTTCCAGGCACAGTAATCTCTTATTTAGTTTACTTTTTACTAAATAAATAGTAGGTGAACGGAGGACATAGCTTAAAAACTGCTTCAAACAAAACTGGACAAATTCTTACAAAAACATTACGACCTTCAAGAAGTCAGTTTCTGAACAAACTATTCATAGATATTAAAAAGTAAGAACTTTTATACTGGCACTTTAGATGTAATTCTACTGTGATTTGTTTTTGTTTCCAAATAAGCTTCTGTTGTTATAAATTGGTAGGAACAGAAAGAAGGCTTTCCCTAGTATTTTCTTTTACTAGAAACACTGTCAGAAAAATAGCATTAATTCTATGAGCAAGAGAGCTAAAAACACTTTCCCTCACCAGGCTGTATTTTTGCAAAAGAAATAAAATCACAACTGCAGTGAATTTTTATGTTCATCTTTCCTTTTATCCAAAGAATAAGATGCTTTCTCTTTGGAGAAAAGTAATTCTGTAGAACTTGAAGTCGAAGTAAGCTATCAGAGAGACTAGGAAAAGAAACAGTCAAAATAATTCCATTATGCTTCCTGTCAATCTATATGCCTGTTAACCTCTTTCTGTTATTATATTCCTGATCCAATACTGGAGTATAATTTAGAATTAATTTATTAAGTAAATTACGTACCCTGGACTCTGCATCATCTTCTTCTTCATCGGGATTATAGGCTTCTGCACATACTATAAAAATAAAAATGGACATTTGAAAGATTATTCCATCAAGAAATATACTATAATAAATATACCTTAAAAATTAATAAAAAGAGAACCATGGTATAAAACAACATTAATTCATTTCATCCAGGGCAAGCAGTCTACACTGAAAAGACGATTCCCTATTGAAATCTATAACGAATTTATTAAAATATAAAGCTGCACTTTAAGACAATGACAATTGTTTTCTGCTTTCTGTTATTCAGAGAAACAGTTTCACCTCTTCCACCTTCGTTTCTAAGCTACAGAAATGCATAAGATCTAAAAATTACTTAAAGAACAGACCCCCCAAAAAGCCTAAGTCTGCTATGAAATGATCAATTTAATCATAGTTATAAGTACTTTTCATAAATTATCCACAACCCAATCTTCCAAGAGCAAATACGATTAACACGTTCATATTCCTTTCTAGTTTTTAAGCTGAGTGTATTTCATACTGCATATGCAATGTTAAAACTTGCTTTTTTCATTTAACACTGTAAGAATTTCACATGCCATTAGAAACATTTTGCAAAAATCATTTTAAGGACTGCTGATTGTTTACCATAAGCTAGAATTAACCACTCCTTTAATACTAGACACTTAGCTGGCTTCTATTAAAATAAGCTTGCAATAAACATCTTCATGCATAAATATTTGTCTATATTTCAGATTACGCTGTAGGAATTATTCCCAAATGTTATTTTTGGGGGGCTAACAGTTATGACAATTTTTAAGGCATACTTATTACCAAGCTTCCTTCTAGAGGGACTATACCAATCCACTGTCCTAACAAAGAATGTGTAAGAAGATTCCTTTAAACTATAAAACAGAAATGGATGTTACTGCTTAAATCTTGGCAAATTAGATGAAAAATTATTGAAATTTTAAAAAATTATTTTGAATTTTAACTATGTTCAAATGTTTATAAAGCTGACTATATTTCTGCCTTTGCCTTTATGAGGAACCTCAGTATGCATTTGATTTTCTTTTTGGTTTACACCAGTTTCTTAACACCACTTTGTTATATTTCTCATAATCTTTTTATCCAGTTTGCTTTTTCACTATAATTACAAAGTTGTCACAGGTTATGCATGTTTATTTTTAATGCAATGAGATCAAGGATGAAAATTCCCCAATATGATTTAAACTCAACAATAAACATCAGAAAAACACCACTGGTTTTGAGCTAGGAAACTCCTTCTTTGCAAATGTAAAGATTACTTCTCTTCCGGTTTTTTAAAAGATTTTTTTTTTTTTTTTACATTTACCCTTTAATTCATAAGGACTTTACTCTGCCAGAGATATAGAAATTTAAAGAACAGAGGATCAGCGACAAGCTGACAAATGTCTTCGCAGAGGCCCGGACGGCATGAAGAGTACCATCATCATTAGCCTTACTACTGCCATTATTACTGTAAATCCTGACGTTAGCGTTCTTTCCTCCAGGCATTGCTCTAGATACACACTGGCCAGTGAGTGAGGGATTCTTAACCAGGGCCAGTTTTGGCCGCCAGAGGACAACTGGCAATGTCTGGGGACATTTTCATTGTCACAACCGTGGGGACTGTCGGGGAAGCCACTCGTTACTGAGGGAGGCCAAGGATGCTGATAAACATCCTACAATTGCCCAGGACAGGATCCCCTTCCCCCGCAACCCCCAACCACCTGGCTCAAAATATCACCAGTGCTGAGGGTGAGAACCCCTGACCTCGTGTATGTTTTTTCATTCAGTCTCACAACAACCCTAAGGCAGACGGGTTTCCTATCACCCCCTGACAGATGAGAGACTAGGGCAGAGAGAGGTTATGTATCTTGGCCCAGATCACACATTCTAGGACGACACGACCCATAGCTGATCCCAGCAGTGTCTGGCTGACCCCAGAGCCCTTGCTCTTAACTATTGTTCTGCATTTGACTCTGGGGAAGTCACCAGCATCAAGGCTGGACTTGAGCCTTCTGTCTCAGAAACCGAACAGAAGGGGACCTGTCTCTCAGGGGCAGGCTCTCATTAAAGAACCTCACTGATGAGTATCACCAGAATGCCAATTTAGTAACTCCCTGAATCAAGTATGGAGTCAGCATGACCAGCTCTCTCTCCCACAGAGGAAGACCGTGGAAGAAGGCAAATCACAATTAAAGGGTTGCTTGCTGAGAATGAGCTAGGAGGAAGTGAATGTTAGGTGGCATCAGTCTGGGACAGCTTGAGCCTTCCACACACACCATACAGATGGTCCTGCTCATGGTGCCCACTTTAATCCTGCTGGCTCCAACTTTCCAGAAAGCATGAGGACATCTACTTCTTTAAAGCTTGGCTCTGTGACTTTGTTTCCATAGATGACCAATCTCACAGGCGGGACTGCTACCTAATTAGCAGGGCTCAGTGCAAAATGAAAACAGCGCCATTTTCAAAAACTCAGAATCTCAAGAGGGCACCAAGAGAACATTAGACCAAACTCGGAGCCCTCGTGAATAGGGGGCCCAGGCCGTCAGCCCAGCTAAGGGGATCAATATATTCAATGAGGTAGTAGAGTAGATAAGACACTAGTGTTGATCTTAAATTTTATTTCACAGAAGGAAACCTTCATGCTCTGATTTTTAAGTTCCGAGCTCCTATACTCTGACTAAAAATCATGAGGAGTAAGATTCTATTGTTCTTCTAAGTAACTTATCAATTGTCCCAGTATTATTTGTTACTTGACAGTCTTCTGATTTGTGGTGTCTACTTTATCACTTACTTGTTTCTCGGTTGCCCATCTCATTGAACTATTTCCCGTGCCAATATTACCAGGATTTAGTTCCTGACATGTCGGTGCAATGTTTCACTACCTTCCAGTCCATCTACCATCACCTCTGAAAGCCAGAGTAAAATACCGCACCTGCGGGCTTGGACATTGCCATCTTCACTTACGCAGTTTCCTCGGGTTGGAACCCTGACACATCCTCCTTTCCAAGCCATCCCTTCTCTCCAGCCCCAACTAAAAAATCAAGACAAGAGCCTCACCTCCTCAGAGCTAAGTTAGGAAAACCCACTTTCTGTGCTCCCCTTGCTTCTGTGTTCCCAATACCGGGGGCAGAGAGAGCTCACTCTTGTCTCTTACTACACTGTACTCTACCAGAGTGGTTACTCTGTGTTCACCCTCCAGGCTGAGACTTACAGCCCTTCCGGAACTAACTGTGCGCTCCTGGAACTCTATTTCCCTAGCACTGACCTGGCTCAACACACACTTTTTGAATGAACGACTGATTAATGAACAAAGAGGCCTGCAAGGTCCTTGAGGACAGAGATAATATCTTGTTTAAATATCTCCTGATATTCTACCTGCATGACAGACTCTCAAACGCAAGTTGAATGAATTAATAAAAAGTTGTCCTTTGCTAAAATGTCTAACACCATTTGTCCAAGAAACAGAAACAGAGTGAAATGAGAACCTTTTGTTTTGTTCACTAAGGAGCCTGGCACAGACCCTGGAAGCTCAGTAACTCTCTGTACAAGGAACGAATGGATGAGAGGTTCTATGCCCAGAAGGACCCTCAAACCAAAGCCTCTAGAGAATATGAGCTGCTTTGTATTCTTTCTAAAATGTATTTACCCTATCCCTCCTGGGCAATGTGAAATTGAGCCTGAAACTATATACTCCCTTCTTGGTTTGGCGATTACACAGTAGTGAAGGATAGAGCCCTATTCTTTGAGTGAACCCTATATTGAGGTTTCCCTGTTATGTTTCCATATATCTATTTGTCAATACATCAGTCATCTAGAATGGGCCAAGATTTCCACACTGTACTGTGATATGCATGCACTGTGTGGCCAGACACCTGTCACAGTCAGCAAGACAGAACAGGGAAGTGAGAACCATATTGACTCTGCATCTTCTGGGGCTTGGCCCTTGAACTTTTCATGTAATATGTGCACGCACGTGCACGTACACACACACACAGCTGTGCACAATTGACCTCTCTACCCTTGTACAATGTAGGAGTCAGGGGTGCCAACCCTCTATGCAGTTGAAAATCCACATATAGCTTCTGACCCTCTGAAAACGTAACCACAAAGAGCCTACTGTTGATTGGAAGTCTTACTGATAACATAAACAGTTGATTAACACATATTTTGTATGTTATGTGTGTTATATATTGTATTTTTTTTTTTAAGATTTTATTCATTCATTTGACAGAGAGAGACACAGTGAGAGAGGGAACACAAGCAGGGGGAGTGGGAGAGGGAGAAGCAGGCTTCCCGCAGAGCTGGGAGCCCGATGCGGGGCTCCATCCCAGGACCCTGGGATCATGACCTGAGCCGAAGGCAGACGCTTAACGACTGAGCCACCCAGGCGCCCCTGATATATTGTATTCTTGTAACAAAGAAGGCTTGAGAAAAAAATGTTATTGAGAAAATCTTAAGGAAGAGAAAATGCTATACTGTGCCTACTGAAAAAAAAATCCACGTATAAGTGGACCTGTGTAGTTCAAATCGTGTTGCTCAAGGGTCAACTGCAGTGACAGACAAGAGGTAAGGGATTTTTTTCCCATCATTATACCAAATACGTGTTGTTTTTTTCCAACAGCGCTCCTCCCTCTCTCTGACACCAAATGGGCTGTCTCACAATTCAGTGTAATTGACACTATCTACCTAAAGTTAGTGTCAGGTCCCACAAGTCAAAGGGCTCAGTCTTGCAAGACTGCCTCCACTTGAGATGCTAATCTCGATTCCCAGGCCACCCACACATCTGAACAACCAGCTAAAAATTGAGGGTTCTCATGGCCCCTTCCCTGGTTCCATAATTCACTAGAATAACTCACAGAACTCAGGAAAGTACCTTCCTTACTCTTACAGGTTTACTATAAAGGAAGTAACTCAAGAAGAGCCAATGGAAGAGATACCTAGGGTGAGGCATGGGGGAGGGGCTCAGAGCCTCCAAGTCCTTTCTGGGTATGCCACCCTCCCAGCACCCCAATGTGATCACCAATCTGGAAGCTCTCTTAAC